TCAAACTGACCAGCGTGGTTTACAAGCCTTATTCAGACCAGGCACCTGGGTTTGGCTTTTGGTCTTGGTGACCCTTCACAGGTGGCGTGAGACCACCGTGGGATTGGTGGAAGGTTTTTGTTCGGGTTCATTCATTTGTCGGTGGGTTGGTGACGTCGGAAGCTGTCTGCAGTTGAAGGAGACAAGGCTACTGCCTCAGTTCCCGTTGGGCCGCTACGGCACACACCATGGACCGAGAGCCTCGTACACATGGCAAAGTATTTCTCAGGGTCCTGCGGGCCGGACGCCGAGGCCCAGGTGCTGGCAGGCTGGGCTCTGGGGAGGACCCGATCCCTGGTTTGCAGACAGTGCCTTCTCGCCGTGTCCTCGCACCCGGAGAGAGGGCTCAGGTCTCTGCCCTGCTTGCAGGGGCACCAGCCCTTTCAGGGGGCCACTCCCGTGACCTCACACGCCCTAATCTCCTCTCACAGGACCCCTCTAAACACCGTCACGTTGGGGTTAGAGCTTCCGCATACGGATTTGGGGGACACACTCGGTCCATAGCAGGTGGCACTTACGATACGTTGAAAAATACAATAATTTAGAGGTCACTTTCCAGAAGGGATGTGAGGCTGCCCTTTGGGAAGGGGCGGGAGGAGGGGGAGGGGGAGGTTCAGTGGGGTCTTCCCTCGCTGGAGACAGCGTGCGACGCTGTGATAGCCGTTCTTTTCTACGGGGCTAGCCCTGTACAAATCATTGTTAAAAGCTTGCAGGATATTTTCATTTAGTGAAGAAAATGGAGATTTATGTAACATGCAAGTTTATATTTAGAAAACCAAAATGGTTTTCTCCCTCTGGCTCGGAAAGCGCGCCGCTTTGCTGCGTGGCTGGGAGTGTTTTGAGCACAGGCTGCCGGAGCAAATGTTTGCCCCAGGAGTCGGCTGTGGTTGCTGGGATGAAAGCAAGTCACATCCGCAGATCAGCAGAGCACGCGCTGGCCGGGCCTGGGAGTGCCGAGTGTTCCGAGCTCCCCGTGCAGGGGGGCAGGGAGGAGGGCGCCGTGGGAAAGCAGGGTCCGAGCTGCCCTGGCGCAGGCCGGCCCCCCAGGCCAGGCAGCCATGAGGTTGCCGTGGTTCCAGAGCTCGGAGCCAGCCACCAAAATGCAGCAGCCACCGCAGGGCCCTTGGTGTTTCTCCCTCCCCAGTTACGGCCAGAAACTCGCAGGGGGAAGGGAAGGCCCCCACAAGCGTGGGTGGAGTTTGTACTTGACAGAACCAAGCAGCACTCACCCCCAGGCTGCGGGAGCAGCGCGGGGCAGGCACAGCTGCGCTCTGGGGGGGGCCGCGTCCCCACTGCTCCCACCCCGCGGTCCGCGGCCGCTCCCCCGCCTCCCTGCGCCGTTGTCTTTGACTTGCTCCTGAGGAAGAGGAAGGCGCAGTCGCCGGCATCCCCCCAGGCACAGACCCAGACACGCTCCCGCGCCGAACCGTCCGCCCACCACCCGGACCGGAACCGCGTGCGGGAGCCCTCGGCCGGGGTCAGGCCGCCCCTCTGGGTGAGCCAGCACTTACGTAGCGTGGCGTGTTCTCAGCAGCAACGTTGTCCGTGACTGAGCCCCAGAGCGCGACACCGTGCTTCCTTTCCTTGCTGTTGCTGGAATATGCAGTTAAAGTAGGTTCTGCAGATGAAGACCTGCCAAGCCAGAGGACAGAACTCGAAAAGAAGATGATGCTGTAACTGACACCTTTTTACAAGTTAACAAAACTCGATTCAGTCTTTGCCCCTCCTCGGGGGTCTCAGACGCCCTCCCATGGATGGAACACACCAACCGACAGCTAAGCGCTGGGTCTTTTCCTCCTCCTGGAATTCAGTTCTGAAAACTATTAGCTCAAGTTTTCACATAAACCACGTCAAATTTGACTCAGTCCAGCGACTGGTGATAAAACATTCTGTGATCAGCAGACACGTTTTTAGAGGAGCTGCTGACGCTCTAAGTTGCAAAGGAGCAGCGTTCACAGCACGTGAGTGAAAGGTGCCGCATCCGTTCCCAGCTGTGGCAGTCGTGGGAGTCACGTCGCGGCGCAGATGTTTCCTGCTCCGTCCAGAAGGTCACAGGCGGAGTCGCTGGTGGAAAAGTTGGAGACCCGTGTTAAATTCGGTCTCTGTGTCCCGCTGAGCGAGTGCAGGGCCTCCGGGAGGCCCGGCCGAGTGAACGGCAGAGTCCGGCTCTTAGGAAAAGCAACGGAACCTTCTGAATGCGAAGACTGCACCGTGAGGACTCGGGACCGTGAGAGAAGCAACAAGGTTGAGGACTGGGGTGCCCTGTCCTCTCCTGGCTGCGGGGCCGTCCCAGCCTCGCAGGCCTCCCCGACGTCCCAGGGAGGGTCGGAGCGAAGGCTGTGGGCTTTGTGCGGGATTTGCACGCAGGTTTGTTTCTGTCTGGTAAGATGGTCGCGTTTAGCATTTAAATACCATCGCGTCTGACGTGTTCCAGAAGGATGCGTCCACACTCTCGCTGCTGCCCGGCCGCCGGGCTGCCCCTCGGGGCCCTGCTCTGCTTAGCAACTGCCGGTCGGTCCAGCGAGCGGTCGAGCGTCGGAAACCACTGCAGTTTCTAACTCGCTTTCGAAAGCAAAGCCCCTGCCTGCCCACGGGACAGTGCTCTGGGTACCCATGGTTCTGACACGTCTCCGAGACCCGAGTCGCTCAAAGCAGGCGAGAATGTGGGTCCCTGTTTAGAAATAAAACCAAATGTCTGTCTTTTTTTGTAGCTAGGGGTTGTTTGTTTGTCTTCTGGGGGGCTTATTTTCTCTGTCGCCTAAATAATTCATGAAACCGACTGCAGAAGATGCGCTGATGTCTCTGGCTCTGGCGCCGGGTCCTTTGTTTTTCATTCTCTCTACCTAAGGTGGACTGGGGTCAAGGCAGAGATCCTGGGAATAGCTTCCGTGCCTGCAGAGGAGCAGCAGCAAACCGGTTGTTAGGCCCTCACCACTGCGGCCCACGACCAGACTAAACCGGCCTCCCGTGCTTGTCGGCTTTGGGCTAAACAGAGACGGGGCAGCAGCTGCGATATCGTCTCCTTCTCAAAGCCGCGGTGCCGAGGGTGGTGTGGGAGCCGGGCTCAGAATCGCCCCTCGGAACTGGGGTGGTGCGGGGGAAATGGGGGGTCTTGGTCGCCATCGGAGCTTCCCCCCCTCCCTTCCATTGCCGCTGCCCAGCCCTGCCACCACCCAGAGCAAACGGTGTCGTCGCTCTGGGCTTCTGACCCTTGGCTGCAAATCGAATCAAAAGTAACCAACAGCTTTTAAGCCTCCGACGCCTGCGTCCCAGCGCTGAGTCCTGAGATGCTGTTCTTCCCACCGAGCCCCAGGGAAGCCTTTCAGCCCCCCCCGGCCCCCTGCAGGCAGCAGCCATGTGGCCAGGTGCCCTCACTCCAGAGCCCCCTCCCCGTCAGGAGACCCCTCCTCGTGTGTGGAGGGGCCCTGAGCCCCCAGAGAGCCGCGGCGGCTGCATGCGTGTCGGGGGCCGGGGCTCACCGCCGCACCGCACGGGAGCAGGCGGTTTGGCCGGATGACTCTGGGGTCGATTCACACCCGAAAGGGCCAAGCAGAGCCGCGCAGGGGCAGGCGGGCGGGAGGTCCGGCAACGCACCTGCGCCCCCGCGGCACTCGGGTGCAATTGCAGGACGCAGCTGCCCCGCGGCCGTGTGGTCCAGGTCCTTGCGGGCCCGTCTTGGGAAGCCCGGCGCTCAGGCACGGGCGCCCCGTGCTGCGTCCTGCCTCGGGGGTCTGGTGGTGACGCGGAGCTGGGCACCGGCCCGCGGCGTGTCCAGCCTGCAGCCGCCTGTCTGTCTCCCCCAGGGCACCAGCGGCTGTCGGTGACCAGCCTGCTCGTGGGCCACGGGTTGCTGATGGTCGGCACCAGCCTGGGAGTCCTGGTGGCCCTGCCGGTGCCCCGTCTGCAAGGCATCCCCAAGGTGACCGGTGAGTCTGCGGCGGCTTCGCCTGAAACTCGCGGGCGCGGCGGTCTGTGCTGTGACGCAGCGTCCCAGGGCTGTTTAAACAATTAGAATTATTTGGGGTATTTTGTTTCAGTGTATTATAAAGACTTAATAGAGTATATCTATTAAGTTGGAATTATCAGTCCTTTTGTTTTTCTGTTTCTCATACTGCTGTTCCAAGGAGAATTGTACCCCGAAAACGTGGATATTCACGTTGTATTTGCTGCCACCAGTTTCTGCCGTTATGCACGGTTTTGCTCAATGAAATGGGCACATTTTGTGTTTTATGTTGTAAAGAAGGAAGCCCAGGCTCTGGGGAAGCCTGGTCGCGCTTGGTTGCAACGCGGGCAGGAGCTCAAGTAGGTGCCTACAGCCCGTTTGGAAAGCGGCGCGGCCTTGCGGGCCGTGAGCCCTTAAACACGCCCTGTGTCTGGAGTCGGCTTCCCAGGTCAGGAGTCTGTCTCAGGAAACAGCCTAACCTAGGAACGAGGTATCCTACAAAAAGATATTTTCCCCAGCGTCTGATTTTCAATAGCACAAAATCACGAGACACCTCAGTGCTGAAGATGAGGGGTCGGAGCGGCTTCGCAAAGCGGGTGCGTTGCCGTCAGGGGAGGAGGCCGCCGGTGACAGGGACGTGCGCGTTTCCAGCGACGCGGAAACTTTTAATGCTGGAAGTGAAGGGAAACCAAGGTCTTGAATTTTATGTTGGTTATAGTGTCAACCAGGGGAGAGTATTAACAGAGGAAAAGATTGGTAGGAAACTCACCGAAACGTGGATCAGGGCTCTACGCCCACAGTTCCTCCAGCGCAGCCCGTCCACGGCTCAGACAGCTCGCAGCTGGGCGTGTCCGCCTGCTGGAGTGAGGAATTCCGATTTTGCTGTGCATTTCCTGATTTCCGTTTTTATTATGATCTTACGGGGTGGGGAACCTGCGGCCTCCAGATCCTTGAGTGAGGCCTTTTGACTAAATCCAAATTTTACAGTGAAGTTTGGATTCAGTGGCACTCGGGGATCTGGAGGGCCATGTGTGGCCTTGAGGCGTATCGGAGCATTTCATGTTTCAGATGTTTGGGTTTGATGCTCAGCGGGTAAGTAAATAACGCAAACATTCCAAATTCCCAAAAAATCTGAAATCTGAAACACTTCTCGACCCAGGCATTTCGGATAAGGGATACTCAGCCTGTAAATACATAAAATTGTAAATAGTAAATCCAGGCAGTTTAAACAGTGATGATAAAAAGGCCAAATGCTGGCCAGTTCAGACACCGACCTCCTACACATGCCTTAGAGCCCCGGGCACCCCCACCCCCTCTCAAACTCACGTCTTCTCCCCTCTCACCGGTAGGAAACGGTTATCCTGAGTTTTACATTAATTTCTCCATTGGTTTTCCTCTGTAGTTCTGCCAATTTGTACCTTAAAATACTCTGTTCACTTTTCCTCATTCTATATTTTCTATAACTGCCCCATCACACCCGCATTCTCTCCGTGTTATCCGCCCCTGGTGCGCATAACTGTCCTTCCTTCCTTTTTGGTGCAGTGTAGCTGCCCCTGACGGCAGACAGACTCTTATCCGTGTTTCCTTCCGTGGACTTTCAGTGTTCCCTGTGATGCCTCCAATGCTCCTGTGGCCGGCTCCGCTGCGCGTGTGCGTCTCGGGGTGGAGTCGCTGGTGGTTGGGGGCGTCCCTGTCTCTGTCCCTCCATAGCCCCAGCCGTGGGCCGACTCCTTCACTTCGCCACTCCGCCCCGTGACGTACGGAGTCCCCGCCACGGTGTATGGTTTAATCTGCTTCGGCCAGAGGAGGACGTGGCCAGGGCCGCGGCCCGTTCCAGCCTGAGCCTGTCTGGTGAGGAGGGACGTGCTCCTGCCCCTGTGTCCTGCCCCCTGTGAGGCACCCAGAACGTGGCCGTCCGCCCGACACTTAAAGATCAGTGTGGGGTGCGGGGCCTGCAGGTGTTTCTGACACAACGATGGTTTTAAAATTTGAATCCTATCGCCTAAAAACTGAAAAGTCCTAACTGTAATTAAATGATAGAATTAAATTGTCCTAAACCTCAGAATATTTTATGATGAAAAAGGGCAGGAAGCTGGTCGTTCAGGCATTTTGTTCCTGGAACTGACACATTCCAAGCTTTCATTATTTTTAATCAAGGCTTAGGAAAGTGAGGTATATTTCCGTAGCATAAGAGAGAGGTATTTCATGCAGAACAGGAAAATAGCTATTGAATTATTTTTAAAATTACAGTAAGAGTATTAGAACTGAGACACAGCCAATTTTGTATTTTAGATCATCATTTTCACAGTTTTGTTCAAATTAACTAAAAATCCGCAAGAATATAACCCAGATATTTTCACTTTAACCTGCGGGCTGGGAGAGCCGTCCGGGGCTGAGCCGGGCACGCTGGTCTCCTTCTGTGGCGCGTCTGTTCTAACAGAGCCTTGTCCGACTGTTTCCCCCAGGGAGGGGCATGGTGTCCTACCACGCACACAGCGGGCCCGTCAAGTTCATCATCCTGGCGGCAGCGCTGCAGGAGAAAGACAAGGACAGAGCCGGGGACAGCCTGCCCCTGGGCCCGGAGCCCCAGGCGGAAGAGGAGAAGGACGGGCCTCCCAGCGAGGCAGCCGCTTCCCGCCCCAGCCAGGGCGACCCCGACGCGGCCGTCTGGTTGGGAGATGCGCCGGGATCCCTGACCCAGAAGAGTGACTTGTCCTCCTCGTCGGGGTCCCTGAGCCTGTCCCACGGCTCCAGCTCTCTGGAGCACAGGTCGGAGGACAGCGTCGTCTACGACCTCCTGAAGGACCCGGTCTCACCGAGAGGCAGAGCGCGGCGGGCCAAGAAAGCCAAGGCCAGCTCGGCGCTGGTGGTGTGTGGCGGCCAGGGCCACCGCCGGGTGCCCGGCAAGGCCAGACAGCCCCCCCGCGAGGAGCTGGCGCCCTCCATCCTGGTCTGGCAGGTCCCCTGCTGAGCACACGGGCAACCGCCGCCTCCTGGCACCGGAATCCGCAATCGAGGACGACTTCTCAGTGAAACCACACGGCGCGAGCGCGTGCCTGCGTCCGCACTGGGTCGAATGCGTTAAACGCAGCGTTTGAGGAAGGATGTGCAATATCGCCACGGCGGCTCTCCTGCGGTTCCTGCCCTCTCTTCCGCGCAGCAGAAGGGATCACAGACGCTTCTGAAGGAGAAGGGGGTGCAGTTTTTGAGTCACCGCGTGCCGTTCTGGGAAAACACCAGGTTCTGTTTGCTGCAGTCGACATACAGATACTAAACGCTAAACTTCAGCTTCAGACCCAGTCTCGTATGCTGCTTAGAGAATCTGCAAAGTAAGAATTTATGAGAAAATAAAGGTATTCCGTAGTGTAGGGATTTATTAACAACTCTTTAAATACTTTTACTGGATTCAAATTCACTACTTTTATTTATATTCTGTATTTTCAAATTCCAGAATCGAATTTGTAACGATTAAAAAAACCAGGGCGTGCACACCCCCCGTCCAGAAGGGGTGTTGCTGCCGAAGTGAGCTGGGCTTCCCAAAGTGGTATAATGTGTGTACTGTACATTTTAACAAAGCAGTATTTTTATATTGCATTTTTCGATTAGAAAATTAACAGTTTAATATTTTAGTCAATATATCGTCTGCAGCATTTCACCAATAATGTTTGCTTTGAACCAAAATGCCGGATACCTGTCAACATGTAGATGCAAGCGTCAACGCCAAATTATTCTCCTCTTCTCGTATTAAATAGCGTTAACATCCACGTCAGAAATACGTATGTTTTAGCTTTATAGCAAACGAGAAGAAAAAGTCTCATTCTTTCACCTGGAGTGCTGGCCCGCGAATGCACGCGCTGAACAACGCGGGTGCCGCCCAGGGCCTGGCACCGGGACGACTCCTCCTCGGGGCGCAGGGCACTGTGCCCTGCAGTTGCCGAGCAGCTCTGGTGTGGAGGGCGAGAGCAATCAGTGAGCGCCACTGTGCGCAACTGTCCTTATGTATCAATGTTTTACTTACCGGGTGGATAATGAGAAAAAATAAAAAACCTAACACAGGCATTCACCAGAAATAAATGTCTCAGCACTTTACAGATGACTAAAATGTTAATTTTACAACTTAACCAAATATTTTCTAAGTTGCATGCATACGCCATGTGAAAGTCATTTCCTCCCAGGCTTCCTTAAACTGTTAGCTGCTGACTTCATAAATAAAAGTCTTTTTATTTAAAAGTGCAGTATCACGAGGTGCCTTTTTCCCCACAGACTACGAAAGGCAGTTACATTCCGGAGGGTGGGGGGTCTGAGCCCAGCCAGACGCCGAACCAAGACCTCCCCAGACGTTCTCTTACATCGTCTGCCAGCCTCCTGAGGTATTAATAGTTCCCGCTGACTCTGGACACAGACGAGGAAACTGAGTCCAAGGGACCCTAAGTCCAGGAGTTAACATCTGGATTTCAGCGTCTGTGTTCCTAACCCTCATTTGTGTTTCTGAGAAGCCACATGAAGTGAAGTTCCAGAAACCAAGCACAGCCTTTGTGCTCTGGCGAGCTGTTCCGGAAACCCTCTGGAGAGAGAGGCAGTTCGCGGGGACGGAGCCCGGCCACCCTGCGGCCTGCGCAGCTTTCAAATCCCGTCGGCGTGGAAGGGCTTCGCAACGGGGTCTGGAAGTAGAGGGAGCTTTGCCGTCGACACGGAGCACGAGGCACGGAAATCTCAGTCTCAGTGAGAGAAGCAACGTGTGCAGAGATTGCAGCCGTCCTGCTTATTTTCTCTAGAAAATTAAGCACATGTCATTAAGAAGAAGGAGTAAATGATGCTGTATTATTCCGGGCACTTTGCTGACTATTCTCAGGTAGCTGTGGACATAGCACAGCTCCTGCTCTTTCAGAAACCACTTCCCCTTTCCTGCCTGCCCTGCTCACACACGGACATGCACACACATGAGCACGCGTGCACACGCATGCACACACACTCCTCTCTGCACGGGCTGCAGCTCTCCTGCCAGGGCCTGTCGGGCGATGTCTATTCAAGTGGAAAGTGGCTCAGCTGGCTCGGCCACCTGCCCTCCCTGCCCGGCTTTGGCTCTTTGCTCCTGTGGCTTTTTCCAAAGAGCCTCGGACGGAGTTAACCCCTGACGAGCAGGTCAGTGGATTCTGGGTGTCTGACAGCAGCTGCGTGTGGGTGTGCACGTGCACGTGTGTCTCTGTGCACGCAGCCCCTCAGCGGCTGAAATGCCCTCGTGCTCCTTCCGGGCGTTCCCTGGTGCCACCCTCGCTTGGGGGCCGTGTCGGCGCTACTGCTTACTTCTCGTAAGACCGCGCCAGTCCTGGCCTCCTGGTCGGGAGGAGGCGGAGCCAGCGCAGGACGCGACGACCAGGTGTCTTCACTCCGGTTTCCTCCCCTGCAAGACGAGGTCATAGCCCCCACCTCACCTGCGCCACGTGGCTCCGCCCCGGCGCTCCGGCTGCGGTTTAGTTATTTCCCCAAGGTCAGCGCATCTCGCGCTGAAGTGCTGATGCTGTTGCGTTCCCGTTTTGCAGATGGGAACACTCTGGCTCGGCCGGTTTGGGAGCCTTGGCACAGGTGACCTGGCCAGGGGCCACGAGCTGCTCCCTCGCTGGGCCGGTGCCCGCCCCCCACGCCCCGGCCGCTCCACCCAGCGTGGCTGTCAGGGGAGCTGGGGTCTCGAAGGCACCGGCACAGGGGCTGGAGTCGGCCCTCTCCCACTCCCAGAACTTACCACAAGTCGGGGATGGGGTCGGGGTTACAGAGAGAGAGGAGTCAAGACTCAGCGCCTTGCCCCGGGCCCAGCCGGACGGTATGAATGCGCTGCCTGGAGCCCGGCCAGGGCACGGAGCAAACAAAGGAGGGCTGCAGGCAAAACCAAACAGAAACTGCCCACGGAAATCGGGGACTCCGCGCAGTCCAGGAGCTTTCAACGCGGCGGCGTCTGTTGTGAACGGCCCGTGACGAAACGCAGGCCTGCGGCTGGAAAGTGGCCACGGGGCCTGTCCGTGAGTCCTGGTGCCAGCGGGGCGCCCTGCGCAGGACGCACACGGCTGAGCGCGGCGGGGCCGCCTCTTGTGCGGACGAGCAGACGGGCGTTTGTGCGGGTCTGGGAGGTGTCGGGCAGTCAGGGCAGAGGCCGGGCCCGGGCGGGGCTGGGCGTGGGGGCCGGTCTGATGCCGGGAGGCGCCTTTGCCTCACCGGCCTGTCCTGCCGCCAGGACACACGTGGGGGGAGCGAGGGTGGGAGGGTCTCGCAACAGCCGGGAAGGAGCTTCCCCGGCCAGCGGCGGCGGATTCTCAGTCTGCCCTTGGAGACGCGGGCGCCTGGCGCACGTTCAGGAAAGGGCGTGAGCAGAGATAAACCACAGCGCGTCGCTCTCGGCAGGTAAGTGACGGAGGGTTTATTTTTATTTCCTCCTGCTTGTTAAAAACAATCGCTTTGCTTTGTGGTGCCAACATGGGGGGTTCCTGTTCCACCTCGAGTTTGGTGGGTCTCAGTCGGGGTGGGGCCACTTCTGGACGTCGACACAGGGAGGGCAGGCGGGTGGGGGACTCTGGCGTTAGCAGCAACGCCCCGCCGGCCTGGGACGGCCGGAGCGCCAGCAGCGCTGAGGCTGAAAACCCAGGCCTGGCTGGTTACGGGACAGACGCATCCTCGTCTTCCGCTCTCGGAAATCGGCGGCTGCTGTCTTTTTCGCCGTGACCACACGGACCCCGCTCTGTGCTCTCCAATGCGGCTTTTCCAACTGGAATGAAACACTCTCTTCTCCGGGTCACGAAGTGGGATTTTCGTCCAGACTAGCAGGGCGGCAGGGCCAAGCAGCCCACGTTCGGACACCCTTGTAACTACCTTTAAGCCAGACGGAACGGTGCAATCGTGGCCTGAGGGGGTTTGGGTTCAGAGAGAGAAAGAACAATTCCTGGGGGCAGGAGACACTTTAACAGACCGTATTTTAAGCAGACGCAGCATGTGTCACCCAGATTTACAGGAATGGCCAGCGTGGGCTCGGGTTTCCACATATTCGAGTTTCACATTAGGCTTTCCTGTCGAATTCCTGGAGCACCAGCTTTCCCTGGTCAAGGATTCTGCATCGCGCTCCGTGGGGCCCCGGGGCCACGCTGCTGGGAACCCCCGGCAGAGATGCCGAGGCCGCGTCCCGGCCGCCGCGTCCCCCGGGGAGGCGGCTCCCAGGTTCGTCCTGTCGGAGCAGAACTGCTCTCCCAGAGTGCAGAGGCTGCGCTGCCTCCTGGAACTTCCTTTCGTGTGGCTTTTCAGAAACACAAATGAGGGTTCGGCAAATCCGATGTGAACTCTTGGACTCTCGGGCAGAGGCAGGGATCGGAAGAGGCTGCTCAGCGGCTTTGCGGGACGAGGGCCCCACGTCAAGTCAGGTGGCGGCCGCGGGAAGCTGGACCAGCAGGGAACAGATTGTCCCCTGGTCCCCCAGGAGGGGCCTGTGGACACTGATCTTGGCCCCGTGAGAGCCACGTGCACTCTGACCCCAGAACTGTGAGATGGTAAACCTGGGCTGTTTTAAGCCATGAATTTCACGTCGACTTGTTACAGCAGCCGTCGGAGACCCACGCACTCCCGTCGATTAAAAATAACTTCTTCTTCCGTAGGAACAGACCACGCACGGGACACTCGAGGGAGTGGCTGCCGGGGGACAGGCCTCTGAGGGACTGAGATGGTTTTCAGAGCTGCCCACCCGCCCGCAAACTCTCAGCTTCTCTGTGTGGGCCTCAATTTGAAGGTCACCTAATGTCCCCTACTGGTTCCCCGTGCCCCGATGTGGCCCCGGGACGGGAGGTGATGTCTCAGACTTGGAGACAGCCCTGCCCTGCCCGTTTCCAGGGCCTGTGCTCTGCAGGGACCTCAGCCAGCCTAAGGCTCGCAGGGGCTGGAGGGGCCGGTCCCCCGACTGTGCCCACTGCTCGCAGGGCCCAGCAACTCCAGAGAGCCGAGGACTCGGTGCGGAGGAGGACAAAGCCACAG